ACAGGGTAGGGTGACAGGAGCAGAGAGATCTGACTTTGAACACCTGAGATCCGAGTGTTTCCACCACACTTACATGATCAGGAACTGGATCCATCCTGAACCAAACACCCACCCCTTGGAATAGGTTAGTAACTTACCCAGGGGAGACCTTGCACAGAAGCCCTCTAATCTTCAGAGCAGGCAAAACAGCAGGTCAGTAAGATTGCTAGAAGTTGCCTATGACAGCCATGACAGTCCAAGAAGCATAGCTAAAACTGCAGTATCATTGCAGTTAAGGTGAGCTTTTCTCAGGATCCAATAAGTTTTCCTTACTATATTATTTACATTTCTAGGTGTAGTTCTCCCCTCCCTAATGCCCTTAGCTTTGGGAATTTCCCAGTGCCCTGGGGCATTCTTCCACAGCAAAATACCCAGGACTCAAATTTAAATGTAAAGCCCTAGGCTCTGCCCCCCCCCCAAAAAAAATTACTGGATTTCAGTAGGCCCCCAAAGAAGTGCTTTTAATCTGTACCTGGGTTGCTTTTAAGGAAGGATCATGCCAGAAAACTGAAACTGAAAATGAATCATTACAGTAAGACTGTCAAAAGATCAGGATTTCAAAACCAGATGGCAGTCAGGGTGACACACAGCAGGGACAGCGCTTAGAATCCAGTGAACAGCACAGGCGTAGGAAGAAAAAAACAGAGAGGTACTTCCAGGCAGCAGTGTGGGAACAATGATGGGACCCTTGGACAGGCTTATGGGAACCCCCACCGTCTCCAGTCAACTCCCTGTTGCTGAGATGGAAACTCCTCAAAGCCTCCTCCCTTATCCTGTGACCCTCAGTCTGTAAAAGCCTGTTGCCACTAATAAGCTTCGGCTATCAACCATCAGTCAGTAGTCCACGTGTGAGAGTATCGGCTCCAGGCACCAAGTCCATCGCTGCTGGACAACGAACACATGGGAAGCACCAAAAGCGAAGAAGGTAGCCCAGCCAAGACAGCAGCTCACCAGCACGGTCTGAAATTAACAAGAAATTAAACTAATAGCCCAGAGCCAGAAGAACGGGTAGTATTCCAGTTTTCCCAGCATCCCACAGGGGGACTGGTTCAAGCACTGGCTGCACCACTTCCTATCCAACTCCTTGCTGATGTGCCCAGCAAGGCAGATGGCATGACTCAAGTGCCTCGGCTCTTGCCACCCAACCATGTGGGAGATCCAGAGGAAGTTCCTGACTCCTGGCTTCAGATGGGCCCAGCTCTGTCCATTGCAACCATTGGGGGGGGAGGTGAATCAGCAGATGAAAGACCACTCCCTTAAATAAATAGACACATAAACAAACAAGTAAACAAACAAAACAGCTAGCCCAGGATCACTGCTGTTGACAACAGCATGCCATGTTAGACTGCCAGTCTCAACTACTCATCTTCCCATCCACTCGTCACAGACAAGATCCCAGGCCTTGCTACATTTTTGGCCTCCTGGGTAGAAAGGTCAACATTTTCTGGGCAAACTAGAGATTTCACAAAAAGGAATTTGAAGACATGACTTTAATGCTTAAAGAACTAAAATTTCAAGTTTGAATAAAGGTCTACCAGGTGGAAATAAAGACACTCCCCCAAATGGAAGAGCTTCTGCAGAGACAGGCCTGAGGAGTCCTTGTGACACATCAGCACTGAGCTGGCAGAGGCAGAGCCACAGGCTGGGCGGAGCAGCCTGCAGGCAAACCCAGTGCTTCCCAGGCCCCAGGCAAGAGCACACCTCTCTCCAAGGGAGTGTTGGGGAAATCGAAATGGGGTCATATCAGGCCGTACAAATAAAGCGGGAGGGTTCTGGTTTGTTGTTGCCATTTAGTGAAGGGGAGGTATAACAGATAAGCACGCAGCACTCCTACAGCCCAAGGAGTGCCGGGGTCTGTGTCCCAGCCCTGCCCCCACTCCTGCTAATGCACGCACTAGGAAACGGGGTGATGGCTTGGGTCCTGGAGGTGACCTGCACCAATGTGGGACACCTGCCTTGGGTTTGAGCTTTTGCTTTGACCTGGCCCCAGGTGACGTGAGCATTTCGGGAGTGAACCAGATCAAAAATCCCTGCCATTGTTTCTCTGCCTTTCAAATTAAAAGCAATAATTGAAAAAAAAAAAAAGATAAAATGGTGCCAGCATTCCTTATGGGCACTGGCTGTTCCACTTTTGATCTAACTCTCTGCTTATGGCCTGGGAAAATAGAAGACGGCCAAAAGCCTCGGGTTCCAAGATCCTTGGGTCCCTCCCACACATGTGGGTGACCCAGAGGAAATTTCTGGCTCGTGGGTTTGGACGGGCTCAGCTCCAGCCATTATGGCCATCTGGGAAGTGAATAAGCAAATGGAAGCTCGCTCTCTCTCCTCTCTCCGTAAATCTGCCTTCCAAATAAAAAATAAATAAATCTTAACCATAAAAAACAAAAAGTTAAAGTAAGGCACATCTATTTGAGCTGACAATTCATGAATTATCATGGGCAGTCCAGCAAACAAGACTTTCATGGAGTCAACACAGAAGCAAGGAGAAGGATCCGACTGCCACAGGATACTAAGGTCTTCTCCGGGTCCTCCTAGCGGGAAGTTCTTAACCCAAGATCAGATGGCTTCCTTAGGATTAGTCAAGGTGGGTTCCCTTCCTAGAAGGTGGTTGTGGACAATGAGTTGGGTTTTGATTTGTTTCCATGTACACATCAAATCATGTACTCATCAAACATTTACTTCCCAGTGTTATATTGCGAAGTATTATATCTAGTCCCATGGGAACCACGGGACTAGAACTCAGTCTCCCAATTACTTATTTTAACACTGGATGTTTCTGATGAGCAAGGGGATGTGCGCTTCCTCTGACTCCCACAAAGCTGAGAACCTAGCCTGTGGCCTCTAACAACCGCACACCTTCTCGTGAGGTAGATTTCAACTTAGTTCATCTAATACCTCTTTGTAGCCAAGATTTACTTTCTCGTGATCTGATTTATCTTTACACTTATTACACCATCCATAACAGATCATTTGTTTCAGGCACTTTTCTAAAAGATTTACTTTTATTGCAAAGTCAGATATACAGAGAGGAGGAGAGACAGAGAGGAAGATCTTCCGTTGATTCATTCCCCAAGTGGCTGCAACGGCCGGTGCTGCACCGATCTGAAGCCAGGAGCCAGGAACTTCTTTCCGGGTCTTCTGCACAGGTACAGAATCCCAAAGCTTTGGGCTGTCCTCGACTGCTTTCCCAGACCACAAGCAGGGAGCTGAATGGGAAGGAAGCAGGACCACAAGGACACAAACCAATGCCCATATGGGATCCTGGCACATGCAAGGCAAGGACTTTAGCCACTAGTCTACCATGCCAGGCCCAAGGCACCTTTAAATAAAGTATATATATATTAAAAAAAAAAAAAAGCTTAAAATCAGTAGCCACATCAAGGGCTGCCTTGATGGCAGAGCACATGAAGCCACTGCCTGTTACACCATCAGGAGCTCTGATCTAAGTGCTAGCCACTCCAATTCTGATCCAGCTCCTCACTAACAACTGGGAGAGCAGCAGCAGAGAACCAGCACTGGGCCTCTGTCACCACGTGGGAGACCCGGGTGGAGTTCCGGGCTGCCGGCTGCCTGCTGCCACAGCTCCCACTCTTAGTGATTGTAGGGAGAGTGAGCCGCAGTTGGAAGATCCCTTTCACTCGGCCTCTCAGTCTCTGTAACTTCGCCTTTCAAATAAGTAAATCTTTTTTTTTTTTTTAATAAGGAGCAACAAAGTAAAATGGAAAATACACAATTAGTAATATAAGAAGAAAAAAAATGTTCGTGAACCCTCACAACCATCAAGGGAGAACTTTAGGGGACATTTAAAAGGAAATGGCATATATTAAAAGATCTTCACTTTCAACAGCTTGTAATAAAACTTGTAAGACTCAAACTGGAGAGAACATCAGAGAACAAAACACAATAAAAATGGTAAGTTATGCAACCACTGTTTAAAGAATTTAGTATGGATCAGAAATAATTCAAATAGCACGCATTGAGCCCTTACTGTGAACCAAGAACTGTGGTAACACAAACCCTCGGTTACTGGGACTTTGTTTTATGAACGAGGCAGTTGAGACAGGGAAAACAACTTGTACAAATTACACAGCAGTGAGGCGTGGCAGTTTGATCTAAAGCAGGCAGGAAGGAGGGGTGACCCTGAGGGGTGAGGACACGACTGCTCACCTAAGGAGCTACCGCTCATTCAGGAAGTAACTGAGCATTAGAACCACGATCGAGATATGATGAGCCATAAAACACGAGGCCTAACTTGACTGTCCAATAATGGCGGCAAAGTCTCAGCTCCCTTCATTCAAAATAAAACAGGAGGTGGTGGGGAAACAGAAAACGGGAAATATAACCTCATAATATTCTATACCCAAGTGAATCTAGTTTATAACTGTTTCTACTAGTAACTTCAATTTTAAAAATCAGTAATTTAAAACTGTAATTTGCAGGACTGTAATTTCTCAATATTCGAGACTCATTTTGGGGTCAAGGTTTTCACTTTTGTAAACCTTACTCTCACCGACATTTGTCCTCCAGCTTCTTTCTACGCGGACCACCACAAAACGGGTGTCCCTTTACCGCTGTTGGTGATTTCTGCAGTTTATGGGGAGAGGCTGCTGGCACTAGCTACCACGCTTCCTCGCAGGTGACGGGGTCTCGGGTCTCCATGCCCTTTGGGATGCAGGGACACGAACATGGACGTGGTCTCCGCATTAAGGACTCTGGCCAGGAGGCAGACCCGGCGTCCCGGGTCCTTCCCTTTCCCCGCCTCGACCAGGCCCTGGCCCCGGCTCCGGTATGGAGCCAGCTCGGGGCCTACAGGCCTCGCGCGGAGTACAGCGCCAGCGGCCATCAACTCGGGGCTGCGCAGTCTCCGGCCGCCCGCCCGTCCCAGGCGCGAGTGGGGTGAGGACCGCCCTGGGCGCCGAGGGGGCAGGCGGCCGCCGGCATTGGCTGGGAGGGATACTCACCCCGCTCCGCTCGGCCCCAAACTCCGCCGCCCAGCCTCGCAGGGGCGGGACGACGGGGCCGAGAGAGGGCGGGGAGAGCAGCCCGGCCCCGCGCGAGGCCTCCAGGGCGCCCGCGGCCCGGGGACAGCGGGGTGGCCGGCCCCTCGGGGACGCCGAGCCTGCGTGAGGAGAACGCGCCGAGCCGCCCCGGCCTCCGGCGGCCAGGGCGCGGGAGGCCGGGTCGGAGCATGCGCAGCGCGCCTCCTGCGCGGGCCGGTGACGTCGTGGGCCGCGCGCGCTCTAGGCTGGAACCGGAAGGCGGCTCGGGGCGAGGCCTCGCTCTCCCTTCGCATCTCCGAGGGCGCCGTGCCGCCCGGGCGTTGGCGGTGCCCTCGACGGGAATCAGGGCTGTGGCTGGGACTGGGGTGGGGAAGAAGGGAAGCCTCTGCGTGCCCAGTGGGGCGTCACCAGCTAGACACTGAGGCGTGAGAGAGACACGCCAGTCCTGATTGAAAAGTTCAAGGGAGGCAGAAATTAGGACTCCCAGTATTGACAAGGATTCCCTCTGTGGAAGGAATACAACAAAGGTGTTGGGGGGCTAGTGGGGGCCCGTAACTCCGACGTTTTGGATGGGCGATAGTGGGGTTCCAGCTCTGTGCTAATGGCCTGAGAAGCAGTGGGCGATCTGGAAGAAGCCCCGGCTTCCTGGCTTGGGACTGGCCCATCCCTGAACATTGTGGCCAGACGGGGAGAGAACGATTTCAGCCTTTTGTGTAATTCTTTCAAATCAATAAATCAAGTCTTAACTGTTAACAGAATTACATGGGAGGGATAAAGGCCAGAGAAAGTAAAGTGCCCAGTGATCAAACTGCAGCCCCAGCTAGGTAAGGGGACAGCAGCATTTGCTTGTTCCAACACTTGAATTTGTTGTAAATGCGGGCAAGGAAGTGCAACAATTGCCTATAAACCCTGAGCTGTTGGGCAGTTCTGGGTGGTAGGTACAGGGTACACCAGGTGCCTACTTCAGAGGTTGGAGATCACCCATCCACTGGTTCACTCCCAGATACTCAACAGGGTATCTAGACCCAACCAAAGGCCATGACTCCATCATGGGGATCCAAGAACTTGAAGATACACAGTTTCGTGGGAAGCTGGAATCCCTAACTACGGTGAAATTTGAACTCGGGCACTCTGACATTGGCTGCGGGTGTCCATCGTAGCATTTTAACAAGTAGGCCAAGAAAGAACAGCATGCTGATCAGTGGGAACCTGGTAAGGGGTGGGACAAGGAGTTAGCTGAAACCCAGCTTGGGGGAATCTGAGGGGGTGGGTGTGGTGGAGTTGTTAGAGATCTTAACTCTACTGGTGGCTGAACCACTTAGTGAATGCCAAACCCTTCACAAGATAAATTGCACTGCATGGAAAATAGTTTAAAACTCAACCTTTTTAAAGAAGCTACTAGTAAAAATGAACTTCTGCTAACATATTTGAGCATCTAAACATGTAAATCAACTGGCGGCTACCAATTAAGATGATCCATTTGGTTTTTATTAAGTATATGAAAATGAGTTCTGGACGTGGCGTGATGGCTCAATTGATTAAATCCTCACCTAACAAACGCTGGGATCCCATATGGGCCCAAGTTTGTGGCCCGGCAGCCCCACTTCCCATCCCGCTCCCTGCCTGTGGCCTGGGAAAGCAGTTGAGGACGGCCCAAAGCCTTGGGACCCTGCACCCGTGTGGGAAACCCAGAAGTTGTTCCTGGCTCCTGGATTCAGATCAGCTCAGCTCCAGCCACTGTGGCCACTTGGGTGGTGGGCCAGCGAGTGGCAGATCTTTTTCTCTGTCTCTCCTTCTCTGTGCATCTGCCTTTCCAATAAAAATAAATCTTTTTTAAAAGAAATTCTGAGGGCTGGCATTGTTGCATAGCTGGTGGAAGCATCACTTGCAATGTCAACATCCCATGTGGGATTCAGTTTCCGTCCCTGCTGCTGCACTTGCATGCAGCTCCCTGTCCGTGAGTTCTCAAAGAGCTTTAGTGCATGACTGCCTCCTTCAGCTCTAAGTAGTTGCCTTTAAAGCAAAGCTTTTATGTGCTTCAAGTGGTATATATGAAAAAACATAGCATCTGTTCTCCTTATACAAATTTGAAAAATAAACCTTTCACATGTGAAAACTAAAATGTATCACTTTGCATTAGACTCAGTATTTTTAAAAAGATTTATTTATCTGAAAGAGTAACAGAGAAGTAGAGACTTAGATCTTCAAACTGCGGATTCGTTTCCCAAATGGCTGCAATAGTCAAAGCTTAGCCAGCTGAAGCTGGAAGCCGGGACGTCGTGCTTGGATAGCAGGTCCTGGGCATTTGAGCCTGCCTTCGCTGCTTTCCCATGCACATTAGCAAGAGGAAGAACAGCTAGATCTTGAACCAGAGCTTTGATGTAGAATGTCCGTGTCACAAGTGCTCCACAATATGGGCCCAGAACTCTCTTTTAGAAACACTTTCCATGTACTGAGTATAGGATGTTAACTTAAAACGGGGGTCTGTTGGGTGTGTGTGTGTCCCAGAGACTTTTCAAGTTTTGTCACTGACTGCCAAAGACAGAGAACCCAATGACTCGTGCCATCAATGCTGCCTCCCAGGGCCTGTGCTAGCAGAAAGCCGGAGTCAGGTGCTAGAGCCAGGAATCAAACACACGTGTTCCGATAGGGGAACACAGGCGCCTTCACGGAGAGGCTGAATGGCTGCTGCCAGTGGCAACTATTTGAATTGACCTATCCCTCACCCCTTCTCTGGAAAAACCAGTTCTGTCCCATTTCTCCTGGTTCCTTCCTTTGGTATTGCTGTGGGCAACTCAAGCCCACACTGGGCTTGGACAAGTTCTCTTTCCATGCATGAAAGAATTCCGGGAGGAGACCTGAAAGTATACAGGAGAGCATGATTTATTGAAAGAAATAATGTGCTAATGTGAGTGTGGGCAAACTCACCGCAGAAGAAAGAGCTGCTGCCCCACTAAGGGTGGGGTCATCCTTTCACAGGGTGGGGATGGTGCCCTAATTGTATATTCAAACAGCATAGTTGAAGCAGGCTTGAATGCCTTTAGCTTCCTTATCCCCGTTTATGGAAACCTCGGCAGCGCCATGGCACTCCTGGGTGCAAGTGTGGCAAATCATGGTCATCCCCAGGAAGGGGTATGATGAAGCAGGGCTGTGCCACGCCTGCATATATGGGGGGAGAAGGGCCTGGGGCATGGTGGGGCATGGATGCTGTCAGCAGGCTCAGGTCTTCTCTCTTACTCACAAGCTGCCTGTTGGCCTTCCTCGTCTCCTCCCTCGGAGATTTGTCATCCCTTCATCCTCAGGATGAGGACAGGGTGAGGGAGGAAGGTCAGTCTGTTATCTGTTTCATGATGAGTCAGAACATTATGCTTGCCTGGCCAGGAAACCAAAGTCCGAGGATGGTTGATCTGAAGATGTTGGAGACGCTGGAGGTCCGTCACCACTCGTTGGCAATAGCTGCAATCCCCGCCTGATCGTCATTTCTGCAAGAAACTTGAATCCTGGAAGACAGACGACAATTAAATTGAGCATAACAGAAACACACATTTTTTGGTTTGTTTAGATTTTTTTATTGGAAAAGCATATTTACAGAGAAAAGGAAAGACATTAAAATCCTCCATCTGCTGGGTCACTCTCCAAGTGGTCAGAACAGCCAGAGCAGAGCCAATCTGAAGCCAGCAGTCAGGAGCTTCTTCCAGGTCTACCACATGGGTGCAGGGTTCCAAGGCTTTGGGCCACCAGCCACTGCTTTCTCAGACTATAAGCAGGGAACTGGATGGAAAGTAGAACAGTCAGGACTTGATCCGGTGCCCTTATGGAATCCTAGTGCTTGCAAGGAAAGGATTAGCAAGTTGAGCCATCACGCTGGGCCCAGAAGCACACATTCTACTGATGTTTTTCGTTGTGAAAATGAATTTAAAGTCCCCAGTTGGCTCACAAGTGTGCTCAAAATTACCTTGTGTGTTCTGTATATCTTGAATTACTCATGAAGACTCAGGGGTAGAGGTTTAATTCTTTAAAAAAAAATTTTTTTTTGTTTTTATTGGAAAGGCAGATATACAGAAAGGAGGAGAGACGGAGAGGAAGATCTTCTGACCGATGGTTCACTCCCCAAGCGGCCACAGTGGCTGGAGCTGATCCATTCCGAAACCAGGAACCAGGAACCTCCTCCAGTTCTCCCACACAGGTGCAGAGTCCCAAGGCTTTGGACAGTTCTCACCTGCTTTCCCAGGCCACAAGCAGGGAGCTGAATGGGATGCGGGGCAGCCAGGATTAGAACTGGTATCCATATGGGATCCTGGTGTGTGCAAGGCGAGGACTTTAACTACTATGCTATCGCACCGGGCCCAGGTTTAATTCTCTACAGATATACCCAGCTAAAAATTTCTTGTAATTTGTTTTTAAATGAATGCTAAGTGATTTATGCTAGGATCCCTTCCACTTATCCTACGATTGGTCAGAGGGATTGCTTTTCTTCAAGTTTTTAGCAAAACTCTATCTTCTGAGGAAATGGGTTGTTCATGATTTTTGAAATTTGGTGTCACTAAAAGCTGATGGGAGATGAGGGCATCTTTCTGGCAAACCAGAACAGGTAAATTTGGGGGCAAGGTTTGCCATCCACTTCTTTGCTTGTAAGAGTTGTAGGAGCCACCTGAATCCCTGGGCCCCACCAGCCCCAAACAAGGGCATCTAGGAAGTGAGAGGCCGGTTTGTCGTGCAGGCCTGCTGGGGACGTTGGGGGTCTGCTCAGACTAGGTTGCATGCTGCATGAGGGCCGAGTGTGGTGGGAAGGGGGCTGGGCCGCAGCAACTGTAACCATCAGTGTGTGTGTAGGTTGATGTGGGCGACAGAACGAACCGGACCCTACTCTGGCTGGCACATACAGAAGTCAAGTCTGGGGTCACCTCTGGTGAGGTTTCTTTGGGAATCCAGAAGAAAACTGGACCACTGTTCTCAAAACTCTAACCACAGGGGAAACCACAGGGTCTGTGGTCTGACCAGACCATGGATGCAAGTGC